AGATTTTGATCCACATTGACACACTAACATCAGGCTGCAGATCTGTCGGCTGTAGATCCCGGTCCACTGCATCTCAAAGCAGCTCTACCGGCTTGAGATCTGAAAACTAAATTAAACATTTTTGGTAATGCACCACAAAACCTTATTAATTTGTAGGTGATTTCTCCTTGCTCCTCCTCCTCTTCAGTTTGAACTAAACCATACTAAAGGTGTCATGTTTGCCATGAAAACAAAGAAACAGAGTTGACGCCAATGTTTTTGCAAAAATGGTAATTGGAGTATTTCTCTAATCTTACAAAAAAAAAATTGGCTACAAAGGGGTCTGAGGATAACACTGTCAGTGTTTTGGAGAGGTCATCGCAGAAATTGATTTAGATCCACTAAAAAATGTGGGCAGAGCTGAAAAGGTGCTGAGTGCTGAATGTGTGACTGCAAAGTTTTATTGAAAGCTTGCTGACGCCGACATGTGATGCATGTAATGGGTATAAACTTAAAAAGCGAGATATGACAGGAATGTCAGACTCATGATGCTGGCCAAAGGTAGCTTTCATTATGGGCAGAGGAATGAGCGCAGAGAGTAGGTTCATTTTTAAGTCCCGGGTTTTATCAGACCAAAACAACCCGAGCCTTCGGCTATTACTCTTAGCAAGATGCATTTATCTCAACAGCAGTGAGAGACGGATAATCAGTTATTGTTCGGATTTGATTGCAAGGAGGAGAAGCAAGTTTCTTCGCCTCTCCTGCCCGACGTGCTGAAACAGCACACACAGCCTCCACCAGAACCGAGTCTTGATTTCATTCCAGCAGAAAGAGACAGTTACACAATGAATCCAATAAATCTCTCTGAAACCCAAAGTCACTTCAATGTGACGAGTTTGACAGTAAACGCTTTCGCCTGAAAACGATCAAAAAAAGCCATCTTCCCCCATGATGCTCGACGGGTAATTCGTGGTCTTTGTGCATTTGCAGAGCAGCACGCTTTCTTGTTAAAGTGTAATCTTACTGGCTTCATTAATGTGAGTCAATCATTTATCTGCTGACCGGTCGACGCTTGAATCTAACACTTGTTTGTTCCAGGGGCTGATAAACTGCGTGCTCTTTGCCAAGGTCAGCGCTCCCTGTGCAGCTGGCTGGAATCCCCCAGACTGTGTAACGCTGATTAGTGCAGCTCTGCACGTATACACATCTCCTCCTCTATCCCTCTCCCTATCTGTCTCTCCCGCTGCTTCCTCCTTTTTGTTGATGCAACAAGACTCGGGCGCAGATAACAAAGAGTTAACGTGAGGTAGAGGCCTACAGCTGCTTGCTTGCTAACTTTATTTTTTCGCTGATTTTTCTTGATAGGCTAGCTCACCTTGTTGTTTATCGAAATTTGGCTAAAACATCAAATGCCAATGTTTTGTTCTGATTAATGTTTAAAATACGTCAATTAAATCAACACATCTAGATGACTTGTTTATTAATCCATGCAACTTTTAGCTTAGTTTGCTATTTATGGCAAATGGCAAAACTGAGAAATCATCACACTTAGTGCGCAGATGATGGAGGTCAACTCAGAAGGCCCCCCACTTTAAAAATAGATGGAAGCACTCGGGTGTCATGGACAGTTTGTTTTTATTTAGATAGCGAGGAAGCAAGGAAAACCTGACATCAGAGATACTAATGAGACAGTGTGCTTAGGAAAATGACATTGAGCTGGATGACAACATCATGAAAACATATGCTGACCATGTATATGCTTTGCATAGTTTTCCAAGCACTGACTGCGTGGAAAACCTAAATGTGGACGTGTGGGACACATGAGAAAACATCTTGCCGGATGAATCTAAAGGATTTGTGCCCTTTTCGAGGAACGAAAGTGACAGAATTTGAGATTTTCTTATTACCCAGTGCGAAATCAAGTGGCAGAGAATCCGTAGCCAGAAGACTGGTCTTACCTTGATCAGGCTTAATTTAAAACGAGCCACTGTGTTTCCATCGATCCATTCTCCGATCATGCCACTCACGCATGTTGGGGTTGCTCTCTTATGCTGGTTCTGATTTGACTTTAGTCATAATTTTTTGGATGGAATGTTGGGGTGGGGGGGGTTGGGACAATTACTCCTTCTGGTTTTTGGACACTGAGTAGCTGGAAGGATTTTTGCTGTTATGTGTTTAATTTCAGACAGCGGCTGTGATGCGTATTTGCAACAACCAGGAGTAATTGGCAATACTCAAATAGTGCCTGGCCTATGCCCCCCTTCCCCAATCCCAGAGTTCTTGAAAAGAGGGCTTCATGGATGCAAAGCAGGATCAAAGAGCAGGAGGAAGTTCAGACCATCGGGCATCTCCAACATCGCTCTGCCCTGCTTTTTAACCAAATGGCCAGACAGAGATATAAAAGCAAAAGCAAATGAAGCGGATTAGTCATGTTTGCCAACGACTGACGTTGTCATTTAAGACTTGTTATTATTAAATATTGTCTCTACTGCCTGTATTTTTGAGGTGTTAGCATGTCATGACAGCAAGCAGCTCTTCAGTCAGAGGCTTCTTCAGATTTGTTGCAAGACTGCTACTGGGGATCCGTCCTGCCTACAGCATCAACATCCACAACGACTCCTTAAAGATACTTGGGTGATTTGAGGTACAATAACATCCAGTTTCACTTTGAGATAAAGTATTTTTTTTAATTAATTGAATCAAAGTGATGTTCTAAGCCAGGTTTCTACAAACTGCTGTCCCAGAACCACATGTGTCAGGATTGAGTTGGTACAGACTGCAAGCCCAACTTGGCATTTTGTCAAGGGTTTGTTCAAATACTTTTGAATATGTGATATTTAACAACACATAACTTTTGACATCAAATCAGAGCAAAAAATTTTTTTTTCCTTTTAGGTCAAACAGGATTAACAAATTATATCTATTTGCTAAATGTTGGCCTTTACTCAATAAAGGAGGTTATGTTTCTCTTTGAACAGTGTGAGCAAATGTGACAGTTCCAGTGAAAACCGTTCCAAGTGTTACCCTGTGTGAATCTGTGTTTTTTTTTCCTAAGTATGGGCGTACACCTACATAAGTTTCCCATTGTGTTGGGAACTGTAGCGTGAGAGTGGACAGTAGGTCAGCTGCAATATTACATCAAACACTTGGCTGTCTTTAAAGACCATACAGCACACACATTGTAAAAAAAAAAGAAAAGAAAAAAAAAAGAAAAAGCACACAGGAACACAAATACAAACACCCAGCTGTGCGGCTCACTTTGCTCCTCACCCTTGAAACAATCTGATGTGATGATAGGTGGAGTGTTTCTGAGTCCCAGTGGACCCAAGAAGACAAAAGAGGGTCCGGAAGAGGCCGCTCGCTCATCCTCGGCGAGTGCACGTCGAAGCACTGATCCTTCCGCAAGCACACACACAAATACACCCGAAGGCACATTTTCACAGAGTGTGGAGACGCGATGTTTAGGCCTATCTGTTTCTGTTGTCTTTGGATTATAATTTTTTGTGTGTGTTGTTTTCTGGAATAAACTCTGTCAGAACCCAATATGGAGGCGAAACCGTAATTTCTGAGGAACGTTTTGAGATAAGTGAGGAAAGAGGAAAGTTATTGGAGAAATAAGGGTTATCATACAAAAATAACAGTATTTTATGCAGATTTTTAAAAATCTTAAATAAAACAACACTACTCAGTGAAGCTTCTTCATGATCTGAATTAAGTTTAATTTTCTGAAAATCTTTAATGAGTTGTTAAAGATCCTTGAATTTACGGCAGTATATCATTGTATAGCGTGTGACATTAAATATATACCAGATGTAATCCCTGGGCGTAAGTGATACAATGGTAAATTAGATTTATTTATAAGTGACGTTTATTGGGTTCAGTTTTTAACTCATTTAACTAACATTAACTCGACTAAGCAGGTAGATATAAAAAAAATCGCACCCATGTTATTTAATATCTGTGGCATATTTACAGCAAAAAAGGAATTTATTTAAAAAAAAATTATTATAGTTAGAAGTTTTTGCAAGTACATAAAATTGCTAATGTCAGATAACAACCAAGTTATCTGGTTACAATTTTGATGATTTCATTTTATGTAGAGAGGAAATTGCTATTTTTCATCTATCTATTAGAAATGAATGTATAACAGACTATATTTTGACTGGCCTGTTTTATCACTTGAGTTTTTTATTAATAGCTTAATGGCAGTAAATGTTTCTGCATTTCATAAAGTTATTTTGTTATTAAACAGAGCAATAGCCTTGCATGATTAGTTCACTTGTCACTTGTTTTTAAGGCCTGTGGAGGGCCACAATTCCTCCTCACAATACTGATCAAATAAATCGCAGTATGTAATTTGGAAAAGGGAAATTTGTTTCTTTGAGTTGTTCATTTTGTCTGGCAGTCACTGCAATCTCAGGGAAGAGCTGAGAGGGATGTCATTTGTTGTCATTTGTTTATTAAATAGTTGCAGTTTCATGGCTGTTAAATTTGACTTTTATCACAGGCACAAGCAACAGAAATGATTGAATAGTTTTAAGATATAACCATAAATTCAATGAAACTATTAATGTTTTCCTCTGTGTGATCTGGGCTGCAAAAAGGCCTCATGCTAATACCCAAGTTACATAAATATGACACTACACATAAATGGATGTCACAGTGAAGCTGAAAATGTGTAGGTAGATATAAATGGATGGTTACGTTTGACTAGATCAGGGGTTAGGACTATGGAGCCTGACACTGGCTGAGACCCTTGCTAGGTTATCATGTTTCATTATCCTGTACTCTGGTGCCCTCGTGTGGCTTAACCGTGCAATTGCAATTTGTCCAGACATCGATTTCCCACAATTCTGAGACCAAGAAGACAAGCAGCAGCTCAAATTAAGGTAAGATATTACTTTGAAATATGTTTGGTCAAAAATAGTACTTAAATTCAACCTCCATATGATATATTTAAGTTTTTCCTCTAACTTACCACCAGATGGCGCTGTGGTGATTTCCTCACCACGCTTACCAGAAGTGGTTCCGGGGTTGAGACAGTTCAAAGGGCATGCAGAGGTCGTGTTGTGCTTTTCCTTCTTCCTTACATGTTTGTTTGTTTTTAAGCCAGCCGGTTCTGGTGATGTGATGGCTTTCCTGACTCTCTTCGTGAGAAGGCAGCTGCCGCAGGCCGTCAGCTACTTCGCTCGCGTAGTGGAGCTGGGCCGGCCAGGCCGCGGCGGCGGAGCCCCGCTGCGGAGGCTGCATGGCTCGGCGCGGCAGCGGGTCGGGGACAAGGGGCCGTGGGGCAAGAGCCAGCGGGGTCCGGAGCAGCCACTGCAGCAGTACCACCTCACAGACCTCGACAAGGCGGACGCTTTGGTAGGAATTTTAATTCAGAAGGAGAAATGCTGAGTTTTAAATCTTATATTTAGATTCTTTTGCTTCTAGCTTCAATGTGTCGATATGTTTGTGTTTTCTTATGTTTTGCAGATGCTAAGGAAGTCGCATGAAACAGGTATCTCATTCTTCTACACCCACACGCTGTTGCAGAACCTGAGTTTTTCCCAGAAATAACTTAAAATAGATATATCTGTGAAGCATTTTTCAGGTTTGAGCTTTTAACGATGCAGTTTCAGTTAGAAGTTCACTTAACACTTACCGGGTTCACACATATCACCTTAATTTAGGCCTTTTAACTATCAGTTTTATCAGTTCTTCTACCATTATTATATATATGGAACTCCTTTAGTAAAGTTGCTGAAACATTTTTGTTTTGTTTTGTTGTCATGAATGAGGTCTGGGTGTAATTCTGGGTAAATATTCTGATATCTGAGCACGCTTCTTGACAGAATTGTTAGGGTTTGTTCAAACTGATGGGTTTCTGAGTGAAGTCTACCCATTTTTAATGACTGCGATTGTATGTATCCAAAACCTGTGTTGATGTGTGTGTTGTCCTGTTGGAACACCCCATTGTGTCAAAATTTCTCCCAGCTAGCTCTTTTTGTTTAGGTGAAACTCAATAATGTGGAGGTACTCGTTACTTCACCCACTTTAGTGAAATGGAAAACTGCCACTGGAGGCCAACTGTACCTTCAGCATGATACCACCACCGCCATGCTTGATAGTTGAAAACGTACTCCTCCATTTGAAAGCCTCACCTCGACTCCTCTAAACGTACATCTCGCCATTGTGTCCAACCAGACTGATCTCTGTGTGCTTTGTGCATTTTTCCTCTATCTCAGGAGGGCAGTGTTGCTCTGATGTTTAACACATTTGGGTGCTTAAACAGAACAATTACGTAAAACATACAAGACCGGTGTTTTGGCCTCACTTAATCTGCAGACTCCAATCCTGTTGAAATTATATGGAAAGTGTTTAATAGCTCATCCTAAAGTTCAGATATTCAACAGGAATCACAATGACATCTGATCTCCTGGTTTCTTTGCATCTTTGCCAATTGTCCAGTATTAGCGGGAGTGCATGTGTTTAATTTTAAACACGTGATAATTATGGAAATTTCACAATAAATTAAAACTTCTGTCTACAAATCTCGCTTTTAGATCAGATATAATCTGATCTGCTGAATGTATTTAAAACATTGAAACCACATTTTAATACCATGATTAGTTGAATTGTGAAAAATTCATGATTTATTTTTTAGCTTGTTGTGTTTTTATGTGCATTTATGAATCTTTCAATATATTTATTTCTATCTTGCTTTTTTTTTTTTTTTTTTTTTAGTTTGTTTTTACTTTCCCTTTTTTTTTTTTGAAGGTCAGAGAAAATTGAAGACT